GACCCATACTCGAGGGTAGTGACACGCCCGTAGGCCCCTGGCCCATTAACAATACTTCCCACATGGTAAAGTTCGGGGACGACTTCCGACCTGTCGACAGATGTGCCTATTGTGGCTGTTGGCTTGCGCGGGACCCTGGCGGCCCGATGTGTATAGTCTGTCACAGACTTGCATCCCCCTGGGTGCAGGCTACAGACGAGACTCGTCCTAACTGCATAGATGCCCCAGGACACCCGCTCGATCTGCTAGGCAGCTGTATCACCTTCCAACTGGCCAGAGTGGGGGCGCGCTACGCCCCCAATCGCCAGCCACATTGGCTCCCAGACCGCCCCCCAGAGACCACCAATCACTCCCCTTCATGGTTCATTATTGAACTACTGGCAGCATGGCGCCATATGACGGACACAGCACTCGCCAACGGCGGAACCGCAAACGAGCCCTGGTACACGACTGCCGAAAGGAACGACCCAGGCCTGGGAGTCGAACTGATGCTCAGAGCCGCGGTGGCCGCCCTGGCCAGGCTTTGCAGCGCCCCGCAGGGGTGGGCCTTGGAGACCGTCATCCAGATACGGGACGACGTCAGCGAAACCCCCTTCTGGCGGTCTGCTGCGCGAGTGGGTGCCCAGATGCATAGCCCTCACCTCTAGCGCGACACTGCCAACCCAACTCCATGACCCAACGGGCGCCAGGTCCAGAGCACAGGACTTGAGGACAATCTACCAGCAGTGCTTGGACGGCCTCCCCGCAGAGGACTCGGAGTGGCTACGCAGAGAAGTAGGAGGTAACTTCTTGAATCAAGCTCTCCTTGCCATGCCGACCTCATTGCCGACCCGACCTCCTTGCGCCTGGCAGTTCCTGTGGCGAGGCAACGCGTCTCACGATTGCGCTGCGCACCAGAGCGCGAGGGGCGGGCTCCCCCGTGGCTCCTGAGGCCAACCGACGAGCCATGAGGAGAGGGGAGTCCGAAAATCAAGCAGAAGACAGACACCGGGCTAGTAGAAACATGCCGCCCCCTCAGGAAAGGGGGGCAGCGCGCGCCGACTGCTGCGTGAAATCGCAGAGATCCGCGCGCAAGTAGCAAACGACAGCATACCAAACAACATGACCTGGAGCAGACTCCTGGCCCCTTTCATCTGGGACTCAGCCACAGAAGGGGGCCGCGCCACGCTAGAGCATGTGTTCGAGGCCACCGGAATCCCCCGCTCCTTGGTGGTGCACGCAGCCAGGCGATGGCACTACATGGGCATGACTTCGCTGGAAGGAGCGCAGCGCCGCCTCGGCCTAGCAGCGGCAGCCCTATCTCAACAGACGGGTAGACTGATCGAGGCCCCCCCTCCAGGGGGATACATCCACCCAGAACTACAGGAACGCACCATGAGCTGGCTCGATCTCTTTGGACAGCTCCAGGAGGCTATCCTAACGGCAGACAGGGGTGCAGTTGAACGCGGGGTGCAAACCCGAAGTGCCGGGGCGCGCGCCAGAGGTGACAACGCAGGAGCCAGAAGAACAGGAGGACGCCAACCCCCCTTCCCCCCTGGAGGTGGGGCACGGGGCACCGCGACCCCCTGGCATGAAGACATCAGGCAGATCCTCGGCGATGAAGTAAGCAACCCCGCGTCTCCCACCCAAGCCCACGGCGGGGGAGACACGCTAGACACCCTCATTCGGGCCCTAGACGCCGCGCAAAGAGACGATGAGGCCGCAGGAGGAGCTAGACAGCAGTGCGTAGACCGCTCTCCTTCTAGTATAGCAGAAGCACAGTTAGTAGCGGAGGGGCTTCTCAGAGAAGCCAGAGCGCAGCTAGAGCCAAGGACTTGGATATCTAGGGCCATGTGGCTGTGCCTGGCGCCACGCTACACCCCCCTCCTCCGACCGGTGCTTCAGGTGAGAGACATGGACATCAGACCGTGCGAAGTCCTCACCAGATGGCTGCAGATAGCTGGTATTCACACTCCCGATGACATCAGAGGCGTATTGGGCGAAGGAGAGGAGCGGGCCCCCGGAGCCTACTCCCCGTTCACCAATGACCAGATCCGCTTCTCATTGCGAACCACGGGGCTCAAGGCCTGCCTAACAGAGGAGGAGGCTGCCTCGACCATTCGCCTCCTCATAGAGGGGCTGGGCGCCTCCATCTCCAACGCCGTCGACCCCCCAGGAGACGCCGAGCAAGCCCTCGGGGCTGGCGAGCCAGAACCGATGCCAGGATGGGATGCTGGCGAAGAGGAGCAGGCCTGCACCATCTGCGCTGGGGAGCTGGACGGGAGCGCGGAACCCCTAATTCTCTGTGGGCGCAGATTCCACGGGCACCGTCTCGAGAGATGGAGACAGAGCCAGCCCGGGGTATTTAGAGGGGGAAGAAACTCCATGCCCATTCGCTGCCCATACTGCAGAGCCAACGATAGAAGCAGCGTCTCTGCCCTCCTCCCTGGTGCTCTGCCTCCTAGCGAATTGCAGGCCGCGCTGCAGCTCAGGGGCGGGCTCCTGGCCCCCATCAGACCCCCCGTAACATATAGAGAACTTGCGGAGGCAGCGCGCTCTTTAGCGACGGAATTGGACTGACTAAGAGCAGACTTAGTCATTATACGAAGACCGAACACTTACATCACAGTGCGAGACATGCAAAGAATACACGACCAAGTAACAGCTTGCAGGCAATCCCCACCGCTACCTACTGAAATGGAGGTGGATCACGACAGTGACGATGGCCCCCCCGGACGCACGAGCGAAAGAGGAGCAGATAACAACGACCCCCCAACTCCTCCCTCCAGACAGGAAAGAATGCGCGCAATCCCGATGATCACACAGGAGAGATGGGCCATCATCCTTGCCAGATTCCCGCCAGGAGACCGAAGGGCCGGAAGCCCCCAATCCATTCCTGCGCCCTTGCTCATAGCTGCGGCCAGAGAAGTAGGTGCGGAACTCGCAATCACCCGGAGGTCGCTGCTCGGCGACAGACACGCAGACAGCGCAGGCATCGCTCTAGCCATGGCCGGGCCCAGTGCTTATGAGCAAATCAAGGAGTTAGTCTGCGACAGAGCCACCCCTCAGGAAGAACGAGGCGCAGCCCCTACGATCCTGATTGCGGATGCCAGCGCATCCCAGATGCAGGCGACACTGTCGGCAGTCAGTTCGAGTATTGGCCAATGCAGGGTGCTCGCCCTAACAGGACAGGGGGCCCCAACGCCGGGGGGCCCCGACCCGACAGAGCTTCTTGCCATAGCTAATGCCCAGTGGGGCTACCGAGCAGCGGGCAGGTTCGCACACCTGGTGCCCATAGGGAACCCTGTGATAACGGGGAAGATGAACCCCCCTCTAATGCAGTTTGATGCGGCGCAGTTCAACATGACAGACCGCCCCCAAAGAACGCTAATCCCACCATCCATTCTTGTACACTGGGGGGGGGGCAGGGTTGCTGATGTCAGCGACGCCCTGCGCATGCTCACACCGGAGCATCGGAACGATGCAATTGTAGCCCAGATAACCAGGTGGCAGCAAACCCTAGAAGGAAACGAGGATTCAGCAGTGGACGTGAAATGGGCCACCACCAAGACGGCTTTACCGAGGGATGAGAATCTCCTTAAGGCTGGATTAGAAACGCTCTATCACCACGTGGTCCGTTGTCGGCCTAACAGACGAACTCACGCGCACGTCCCCTCGGACCTACCCTTTGAAGAGCTTCAAGTCGCAGCGCAGACCGCACCAGCAACCAACGTCAATAGTGCCACCTGGAGGTCCAGGGAAGCATCCGACTCGGTGCAAATCCCCATGCCAGCCGCTGCCGCTTGCCTGGCTGTGTCAGTCGCCGCGGACGCAGCGGCAGCCTTTGGGTGCCGAGTAGGTATCAACGGGGGAGGATTGTTTCTCCTGAAGACCCCAGAGAGAATCGCGGCGCCGATACTGCGGTACCTCAAGGATGAGCTACCCAGTGTCTTCGGGTCTGTCCGCAGCTCCCCAGCCCTCACAGCCCCGGGGGAGTTCTATTAGAAGGAGAATGGGACGGCGGACCCTCTTTTGCCAGGCTAGCCGACCCGGAAGACGGCTTCCACCTCCGGGGCAATCTAGAAGACAGGACGTGCCGTCTTGGGGCCCCTCTGGGCGATCTTGGGCGCCTCTGGGGCTGTTTTGGAGCCCTCTTGGACCGTCTTGGGGCCATGTTGGGCCGTCTTGCGGCCCTCCTGGGCCCTCTTGGGGCTCTCTTGGAGGCCTCTTGGGTCGTCTTGGGGCGATATTTGGGGCCTCTTGGGCCATCTTTGAACGTCGGGAAGCCGAACAGATGAGAACGCCCAAATCCTTCAACAATCGAAAGGAAATCGATAGTTTTTGCCTTCTGGGGCCCTGTGGCGACGCTTCTTCGAGGCCTCTTTGGGCGTCTTGGGGGCGTCTGCGGCCGTCTTGAGGCTATCTTGGGCGTCTTGGACCGATCGGTCGGCGACTCGGAACCCTCTTGGACCGTGTTGGGTACTCTTGGGGCCCTCCAGGAACGCTCGGGGGCGCCTGAAAGCCGCGCCCAGACGGGAAACCCATCTCTGAGTCGGACCAGCCAGGGTGCTTTTCTTCCGGGGACCCCCAGGGGCCGCCCCGCGCGCGCGAATTAGAAATATTGTTTACCAGCCGCTGGAGATCTTAGCACGCGTCTGGCCCCTTGGGCTGGCGAATTTATAAGGAAGTGGGATGGCGGATGAGGGAGGAGGGAGGCGGAGGAGGAGGAGGCGGAGGAGGAGGAGGTGGTGGAGGAGGAGGAGGAGGATGAGGACGGGGGAGGACGGGAGGAGGGAGGGAGGGAGGGAAGGAGGAAGTGGAGGAGGAGGAGGAGGAGGAGGAGGAGGAGGAGGCGGAGGATGACAGGGAGGAGGAGGAGGAGGAGGAGAAGGAGGAGGAGGAGAAGGAGGAGGAGGAGAAGGAGGAGGAGGAGGGAAGAGGGGGAGGAGGGAAGAGGAGGCGGGGGAATGCTTAGGAGGAGGTGGATGGCTGCCGCTGAGGACAGCATTTCATCCCCCGAG